AAGGATATTTACATAACCATCTAGGTTACTATTCTGTCATTTACTAAAACTTGAAGCTATGAAGAAAAGTTCATTTTTCAAAAGACATTTTAACCGTTTAGTTAAAAATCAGAAATTTAAACATGTCAGTCAAATCTATTTTTAATTCTTTCTTTGAACCTAAGAACAGAAGTTTAATGTTAGTCCTTAAATCCCTATATGAGTATTACCATCTGATTTTACTTCGATTAATTTGTCTGCTATGCTGGACACTAATGCAGACGATAATAGCCATAATGTCAATTCTCAATATATTGAATATATGTGTTGTGATTGGAATAGTAGTGAATCGTTTTCACAACTATCTAGTTATATAGTAATGAAAGTATTGTAAATTTTGAGATGGATAGCAATTCTAAATATAATTATAATACCAATGAAATGAGTGATGAAACTTTTTCTGAAAAGCTCCAAAATTGGATTATTGAATTTAAAATTAACCATAACGCCCTACAAGTTTTACTATCAATTTTAGGGGAAACACCAACATTTCAAAATCATCCTAACTCCTAAGGATCCTAGGAAATTTTTAATGACACCTAAAATAAGAATTATGCAAGTTGTACAACCAGGGTTGTATTGTCATTTTGGCATCTTAAGTAGTTTGAACAATATTTTTAATAAACAATTATCTATTCCATGTTGGTGTTATCGGGCCTTGTGATATTTGAATACGATTAATCTTTGAGATACCAAAAGTCAATAGATATTATTATATAGTATAGTAACAGTAACAGATACAATTATGAATTATTTGGATTGTTTTATATTTATAGCTATTAGCTATGTTTACTGTCTATAGTCTATATTTATTGGTCATTAATCATAATCCTATAGTAAGTATCGATTACAAGTTACGGCCTCGGCCTATACGGGCTACGGCATAAGGTTTTATTCAATTAAATTATAATCTATCACCTATGTGCAAGTGGCGCAAGTCTATAAACCTTTTACTTTTTTTAGTATTAGAAAAAAATTTTTAACATGTTTTTTAATTCTTAAATTTTTCTTCTTACCTAATAAACTTTTACTAAAAAAAAAAAAAACGTTTATATTTATAACATMMATTTATCTTTACACACATATTTTCTATCATGCTTAGCWGTACAATAGTAAATTATTTATTTTATTTMAGTTCCTTCAGCCTCAAATCGCAATGATCTTTAAGCGTGTACATGTTGAAAATTCGAACGAAGCAGTAAATGCTAAAAGAACACGCATTAACATCGTTAAAACCCCCGGTTTTGTTAATACTGGCTCATCGCGCTCTAATAAAATCGTCTGGTATTATAAGAAAAATACAGATAATTTGAACAACTACAAAACATTTATAGTATCATCAAAAGATGACTTAATTMAATTACTTAAATCATTATCGACAAAACACC